GTTGAACTTATATTACAAACACAAAGAATAGTTGTACTTCTCCTTTTTGTTGATGACAAAGGGGGAGAAGTATGTTGATGACATGATATGCATAAGTCTATGCATGAGTTCATAATGACGTGTTGCAAGTATTCATGATGAATATTGCAATGACTTGAATTCAGTTTGAATTCAAGGTTCTATCAATATGGCATATTGATAGGGGGAGTTTGTTTAAACTCCGGGAGTCAAGTTTAACTCCGTCATCAATTGGTTGTCATCATCAAAAAGGGAGAGATTATTGAATCTCATATTTTGATGATGAAACCAATTGATAATTATGTTTATGTTTAACTGCATTTTGAGTGATGCAGGTCTACTCGATCAGGATTAGACAATTAAGGCAGGAGGAATTGGCGTTGCGCTGGAGGAGATCACGTTAGGATATTGGATGGCAGAAGGCTTCGGACGTCGGGCATCGGGCCAAGAGCAGAATTGCACCAAGGATATCGGCGTTGCGGAGGTCAACCGCCGATTGGGCAACAAGCCGCAAGAGAGGAAGATGCACCAAAGAATCAGACGAAGCGCCAACCAATGACGTGCCGGGTAACAGAATGTCAATTCGTTTTATAATAATTGTCTAGATCGGAGTAGAGTTTTTGCTTGTGTGTGCAGGATTAACTACGATAACGACGAAGACATAAAGCAAAACAAAGTGTCGGAGTCAAGCACGAAGGATTCATTGCGAGTTCGAGAGTTCGACGGAAGTCCGAAGGTTCATCGGGAATGCTGCCGGAACTAGCTAAGAATGAGTAGGGAGCTTGCCGAAGGGTTTTTCGGAAGCTCGCCGGAAGGTTCGTTGGAAGTTCACGGAGCTCACTGAGAAAGATCGGAGCTTACCGAAGAAGCTCGTTGGAACTCGCCAAGATCAAATCGTGAAGTCTAGGAGCTTGCCGGGAGTCCGCAGAATGGTTTCCGAGAGTTTATCGGAAGACCGTCGGAAGTTCGCTGGAAGCTCGCCGGAAGAAGTCTTGACTTACGGACTTTGTAATAGCTTAGAAAATGTCTTTAAATTCGTAGTTAGCACGTTAATTAGGGTTAGGATTAGGTGTTAATCCTATAACCCAAGTAGGGGCCAATTGGGCCCGAGTTCGGACTAGTTTGGGCCAAGTTTAGAGTCCAACCAGTGAGCTAAATTGGCCTAGGCGGTGGCACCGCCCAACACCCGAGAGCTGGGCGGTGACACCTCCTGGGCTGGGCGGTGGCACCGCCAGCATCGGGAACAGAAGAGAATTCAAATTTTTGGAGCCCAAATTTGAATCCTCTTGAGGCCTATAAATACCCCTCAAGTCTCAGCTGAGAATACAACTTTTTGAGCAGCAAGTGATTGAGAGAAAAGTCTTAGAAGAGTCTTTGCTAGTCTTGTTTTCAATTTGCTAGTGTTCACCTCCTTCTTTCTTGCTGAAAATCTGTAAGAGAGTGAACCGCTTGTAAAAGTTGTAAGAGGCGTATTTACCCTTCCCTTTCAAGAGATTTGCTAGTGGAAGGTGGGAGCCTCATCGAAGAGGGGCCTCGCAAGTGGATGTAGGTCATTTGACCGAACCACTGTAAAATCGGCATAATCTCTGGTTTGCATTTACTTATTGTCATTTATATTACTGCAAACCATTTGCACTTTAATGCTATACTGCTTTGTCTCCGTCTTACTTATCTCTTCAAGTTAAAATGCAATCGAAACGTTTTTAAACGAAAACGTTGCTTTTATCATACGAAGTTTTCGAAAAGTGTTTAAATCGTGAAAAGTTTATCGCACTTCACCGCTGCACTAATTCACCCCCCCCCTCTTAGTGCCGCTCCGATCCTAACAGTACCATGCCCAGTATACGGTCTATGAGGTATTAAATGGATGACGGACTATAGGTATATGGTAACTGAGGACAGATAGGTCCAAATGGATTGGATTCCCCTATATTGTCTGGGATTGTAGCGTAGTGACCTAGTACGTCTGTAGTCAATGAGTCGAGTGAATTATTATAGAGATAATAATTCACTAAGATAGAAGGAGTATAACTCACGACTAGCTCGATATTGGGCCTAAAAGGTCACATACTTATGGTAGGCGTTGGGACGAGTAGAGGTTCGGATATTAGATATCCCTCGGAGCCCTTATCTTATTGGATATCCAATAAGCTCTTGAATTATTGGATCCAATGGATAAGATCCAATAAGAACCAATAAGAGATTATTGGATAAAGATCCACTAATCTAAGAGGCTTGGGTAGTTGGATGGAGATCCAATACCCAATAGGGTAGGATCTATTAGGGTTAAGTTGATAGGGAGCCTCTATAAATAAGAGGGAACCAAAGGTTTATAAGCTAGAGCTTCTCTTAGTTGTCATCTCCTATTCTTCTCTCCCCTTCTCCTTCTCAGATAGTAGGCCTAGAGATTTAAGAAGCGACGTCCCAACCTTACTATGTGAATCACCACTAGAAAGGATGACGCTTAACTTCCTTCATCCTTTTCTATAGATCTGTAGGGATTCAGGGATATACAATCTCCCTAGGTAAAACATAATTTTTGATATACGTAGTTTTCTATTTTACGGATTTTGCACATAAATCTTCGCATGACGATAAATATAATTTATGAGAAATTTGGGGATTTTTTATTTCTGTTCTTTCACTACGCATATGATGTCACCTCTATACCCGCTATGGTGTAAGTTGCTATGATAGACTAATACCGATACTCTCGCTATAGTGGTCGAATCAAGACCTACTATAGTGGAAGTCACTATGACGAATTGATATCAATCCTCCTGCCCACACGGTCGAGCCAGCAATCGCTATTGCAGACTTACACTCCCTCTCAAGCAATGAAGTACCTGCCCCCAGAAGTGGAAGAAGGGGTAGGCTCAAAAGAAAGCCCAACCTCCTATATGGAAGGGGGAGGCAAAAACAAAGAAGGAAATCTCTCGAAGCAGAAGGGGGAGGTCAGAAAATGAGAAAAAATAAACTCCTGTGCGGAAGGGGGAGAATGAAGATAGAGAGGGAGGAAAAGAGAAAGGGGTCACTTAGGTCAACACCCATCTGAAAAGGTCATCTCAACAAGAAAGCATAGCTAACCCCGGAGGAGCTTCACGTCAACCACCATGGAGCCAATGACTTTCACATCGCCATGCAGGAATGCAAGAAAAGTAACATCTTTCGAAACATCCTTCAAAGCTTCGAAGAATGTCTTTCTAGGGGGACGAGTGATAGGGATGAACCCCGACACCTCCCAACTCCCCCTACCACATAAGCAACACTAAACGAAGGCTCGGAGCCACCTACTCCCTACGACCACCAACGGGATGTCATGTCACCTGCCTCGATTTCCCTAAGTGAGCCTGTAGGAACTACTCCTCACCGATCCCATAGCCGGGAAAATAAACCTAGCTCTACATTAATAGTCAACGGCATGGGCCGACTTCACCAGCCATATGAATGACGAGAGGATCACGCCTTGCCTGACCCGAAGAAGTAAAGAAACTCAACTAGAGGCGTCATCGCAATAGTCCCCAAACATTGCCCTTGGGAGCATACATTGATACGCCACCCACATTAAATGTTTCTACCATGCTAAGTAAGGGGAGCCTTGACGGAGGCCCATTTGCTCCTTCTAGTACCCAAGTATAAAAGTTGTGTCTCGGGCCAAGCCGGGGCAAACAAGCAGAAGTGACTATTTACTCTCTTAATTTATTGTTGATACCCTTATCTTCCTCCCTCTTTATTTTTCTGACTTAAGTATCGGAGGGATCGAGCTAGGACACCCCGACACAGGCCTGCTATGTAAGGTTATCAACGTAGCTCGAAGGTGTGACCAGAAAGCCACCTAGCAAAGGAGATGACCCAGCTCCCAAACTAAGCTTTGTCATTTGAAGACTGAGCTACTCTTAGCGTGTTGCCTCTTCCTACAATTTTCTTCGTCCTACCTATAACACTAGCTCTCCATGTCAACCAAAAAGAATAATCAAAAGGGACCTATGTTTTTAATAGATAATCAATCAAGTTGATTCATTAGTCGATGATCTCTGTGTCTTAACAAGTTCCTTACCAATTTATTCTGGATCGATAAGGAGAGTATAATTAGATATGAAAAGATTGGGAAGTTATTTGGAACCTCGATATTTTGATATTTATCTATAAACTCCTTTTGAGGAGTTTGTCCAATCAATCACGAGGTACTTTGATAAATGGAAACATTGATCATGGCTTCATGAGGACAATGATTTAGATGTCCAATCCATCACGAGCTTAAAACTCTCAATGCAAACTCCCTATGGCTCTTATGGAAGAACGGAAATGTGATTTTGCATAGTGATCAACCTCTCAATCTCCAAACTATTTGGTTCAAAATCCAAGCTTTGACATATAAACATTACGGAGGGGAAGGGGGGAATGAACATCATTCTGCTTCTTAACACAACTACTGAAGAAAAGAATAGAAGATAAGAACAATTATTGAAGAAGCTTTAAATGCTTCAATACATTAACATGTTCCCTCTCCTATTTATACAAATTAGGAGAAAGGATTTCCCTCAACAGAATAGAGGTTTTTTCTTAACAGAATAGAGATATTTCCTTGTATAGTTGGGAAAATCTTATCTCTATCATGCCCCCGCAAGATGGTGCTCCTGATAAGGATACCGATCTTGGATCGATGCAAAGAATGGTTTACAAGCGAGAAACTTCGTGAGTAGGGCAAGAGCAGATCGCTGCTACTGTTGCGATTGCTGTTGTTGTGAGGGCACAAGCATTCCCTTCGTTCTCCTTAAGTCCGCCCTTTGTTCTCCTTAAGTCCACCGACTTTTGGCAGATCAGCGAAGGCAGCGAAGGCTACCGTGGTGAGGAAGATGAGGATTGGTCGTGGAGCCTCTTAGGAATGTGATTGCAGCGGCGTTGGTCACTGGCCGAAGACAAGGGCGAAGCTCGCAAGAGCGAAACTTCGCTTTTCTCACTGCTCTGATACCATGATGAAAAGAATATAAGATAAGAACAATTATTAAAGAAGCTTTAAATGCTTCAATACATTAACATGTTCGCTCTCCTATTTATACAAATTAGGAGAAAGGATTTCCCTCAATAGAATAGAGGATTTTTCTCAACAAAGCTATAACCTATACACATTCGGCTATGATGGTGTTTTTGCAGCTAATTCATCTGATGTTGATACAGGTCATGTCATCAAAAAATTGGTGCAGTAGAGTGCAACATACACAAAGCCATTGATGCGGAACGAAGAGACTGTTGGGGTATAATAGATGAGACTTCGAAGAACATAAATAGAGAACAGATGCTACGACGCTTGTGCATTCATTTTGGTCGGACTCTATTATGGATTTCTGACCACATTCTCCATAGGGCCCTCTTATCTCTTCCTTCTTCGAGCTCGGGTTATGGAAGAAGGAACCGAGAAGGAGGTATCAGCAACAACTGGTTTTATTACGGGACAGCTCATGATGTTCATATCGATCTATTATGCGCCTCTGCATCTAGCATTGGGTAGACCTCATACAATAACTGTCCTAGTTCTACCCTATCTTTTGTTTCATTTCTTCTGGAACAATCACTAAAACAATCACTAAAATTCAATGCGTAATCTCAGCATTCAATGTGTATTCCTGAATAATCTCATTTTTCAATTATTCAACCATTTCATTTTACCAAGTTCAACGTTAGCCAGATTGTTTTCTTTTCTTTTCTTTTGTTTTTGTTTTTTTTTTCTAACACAATACACTCTCACTTGCCTAGATTAGAAATCGAAACAAGTCAACGGTTTAACTATTCTAAATTAAAAAAGAATCAGATTCTGATGATTTGATTTCGATTCTTGAAATCTAGAATCGAAACTGAAACCAACAATCCAATTTAGTTCTGAACCAATCAGATAAAAAAAAGCCTAAATATCCTTGCAAATGATGAATCTCTTTCTAATAATTTAATAATCGATTAATTGAATGAGCATTTTGAAGAAAAAAATCAAAATAAATGATTTTATTTTGAAATTAGAATCAAAATAAATGATTTTATTTAAGACCATTAAAATCGCCAATTCCAAATCCAAGGGCACGGCTTCCCTTGACAACATGACAAGAATTTCTGATCATTCCTCTAGGTTTGAAGGCAAAAGTAGTGATGATGATGATGATGATGTTGCTTGCGCTGTTTTTGTTTTTACCATCATATTAACAATGAAATGTAACGTCAAGAGTTAGCGATACTCCATAATAAACCTCGCATAACTATCACAAGCTAAAGTGCTTGCACTAGCACATTGGTTTTGCGATTTACATGTACAGGAGACACGCACGGACTCCAACGCTATCATCGGCTATTATTGTGGGTACGTAAAAGCCGAGAGGTGAAAATAGAAAGGATGGCTGTCTGCATTAGCTCGCATCTTTCAGCAAATATTTTCAGGTCTGCTACGCTTTCTCAGCTTGGGCGGCGGCATCGGCATTTCCTTCTTTGGCCTTCTTTGCTTCGTAGTCTTTTACTGCCGCCTTAATTGCATCTTCGGCAAGCATGCTGCAATGGAGCTTCACTGGGGGAAGCGAAAGATGCTTTGCGATTTCCCTGCAACATTCAGGAGGGTGTTATGGAGTTAGAAGGGAGATCAAAAATACAAACTGACCTATTGAAGAAGAAATTAAGTCTGGCATGAACAAAAAGTGTTGAGCTAGCAAATAACAGGAGGATGTTATGGAGTTAGAAGGCACGTATCATGCCCCTGAACAAAGAAAAGTGTTGAGCTAGCAAATAACAAGATCATTATTTTTTGGGTCTCCCAATGTATTTTGGACATTGGCTTCCTGATGCAAACCTTAATGACAGTTACCTATGAACCAATTAACTAATTGAAATTAAGACTTTGGTGTCTGATAAACACTTGAATTGTTAACACATGAAAGCAATTAGGAAATAAAAGAGACGACTGAGGGAGAGAGACAGATGGAGAATGACAGTGGGATGAGCAAAGAAAGGTTGAGGTGTAATGCCCAAACAATGGAGATAAAAGCCTACATATTGACAAAAGATGAGAAGACATTGGAGGATGGGAGCTTACCTTCCTGCAGAAAGGGCAGGGCCTAACAAGCAACTTGGATTGAGCTTACTTTTAGTATATCGAAGAGTATTCTGAATCAACTCGACTCTACACACCACCCACGCACAATACCTAAGCAAACTAATCCAAGCCCAACTTGAACAATGTAGCCTTCAGCTTACTCTTTTTCTTTTTTTTTTTTAAATGTAGCCCTGAGCTTAGTTCACTAAACCCCATTACAAAGGATCACAAGTTTGTGTTCCAAGAATCCCAAGCTGACCCAGCTGTTCATTTTGAATGCTATAGTCAACCTTGGAAGGATGCCCAAAATTCACTATCTACTCTGACCATTTTGGCACAAACCAACGAGGAGACTTGCTTGCCATGTGATGGTGTGATGGTAGAACTAAAAGGAACATTAGTTAATTTGGTCTCTTATGCCAGCAAATAACCTGAAGTCATGTCAAAATGAAGCTCTCCCATGGCGGGAAATAACTTAACAGAGAATTATGAAACCTTCCAGAAATGCCAAAACATAAATCAACATCCCCCAAAAAAAGCCCATCAAACCATTGTGAAGCTTCAACGTCAGCCTGAAAATTACCCTAATATATGATCAAAATAAAGAACAATATATTTAACTACACAACCAATCGGGAAAAAGTTATACAAAAAAAAAAAACCAATGAGCAGGAACTAGACAGCAACAAATAAAAAAGAATAATGAAATTCAAAAAGTACAACGAGAGTTACAGATAAAAGAAAGAGCACATGGAAAAGGAGAGAGGGAAATAATAA